CGTCCGGTCCCGCCACCACGGGCGCAGCCGCTGGCCGAGCCGCCGGGCGCGGACGCGATCCCGAGATCCCGCCAGCTGAGGGGTATCCCGGCGGAGCAGAGCGTGGCGTGGCCGCCCCAAGATCAGCAAGGGCTGGGAGAGGCGGGCGTGGTCCACTGTCGATGGGAGGGGGCAAGCCCGCCATCCTGGTATCCTAAGCTTACTGGTAACCCGTGGGGGTAAGTCCCTGACCCCCGACCAGTCTCCTACGGGTCTTGGGGAATGGCGGTAATTGTGTCTTTAAGGGTGTCCCTTGCGGGGATACCGAGCTGAAAGGATGCCACCTCTGACCTCAGCCCCCTTTATGGTGGGCCATCAGACTGCCCAAAACCCTTAGGATCTCTGGTGTTGTTGGGCGGTCCTCAACAACAACGTGGACTTTGGGGCCCAACTGCGGGCCAGGATGTTTGCAGTGGCTCCAAAGGGAGGAGGGTGCAGTGAACTGTTCTCTGGGACCATCCAAATGTTTCTAAGTTTGTCTTCCTCTTTAACTGTCTTTTACAGGTGAGGGACTAGCTAGCGTCCTATACAGCCACTGTGTGCTCCTTTAATATCGCATAGAAAATTTGCTGTCACAAAAGTTATTTACAAGTGGCGGGCTTTTTCACTGTAGCAGTTCTCGAAAAGAGAGAGTAGGTCGGAGGAGCAGTACTCCTCTCAAAGCCCATTCCCCAGTTTGGATCCTTTGTCTTTGAGAGAAGCCATGTAGGAAGCTGTCACTTGAAAGTGGTAAGAAAAGAGCTTTGCTGTTCTGGAATCTAACCAATCATAACTGCCTTAGAGAGTAAACTGTGTTCCCCTCCACCAAAACTCTCCCTTCAGCCTCATGACAGACCTGCATTTCTCAAAGAGCTAACTTCACATTTTTCCAAGGAGATGAGAAACCTTACTGTGTGGTAAATCCCACAAACAGGCCCATTTTTCACCAATTAATCTCTGCCCACAGCATGACCTAAAACAGACCATTTTTGTAGATAGGCATAGTTCACATATAAGTAGAAATTATTGAAAAATTAGCAAAAGAATTTGACCACAAATTTTAAAAACACAAAAACAGAATTCCTCTCCCTTTTTTATATATTGAATAAAGAAAAAACATATTTCCTAGGGTTTTCAAATTGACTTCTCAAATATTGGTCCTAAAAGAAAAATCCAGTGTCTTTTTTCCAATATGACAATTGAGAGTCAAATATCAAAAAAAAAAAAAAAAAAACTAATTTCAGCAAAACTCACAAATACATTTTTAAAATGATTTGCCAGAACCATCACCACGATCAAAGTAGGAAATGTAATGCATACATTTTGACCTTGTACAGAGAAAGAACGTGGCAAAAATCGGTACCAGCATTACTAAAATGCCCACTATATATTCTCATATTGCTGTTAGGTGCCATTGAGTCAGTTCCTACTCATATAGACACTATGTACAACAGAAAATGAAACATGTATAGAAAATAATAAACTGATGTAATAAATTAGAAGTTTTTAACTTGGATTATCATCTGAGGCAGGAAAGGTATAATAATAGAAACAGTTGTTGTTAAGTGCCATCAAGTCTATTCTGACTCAGAGTTTGAACTACCAACCTTGTGATTCAAACCAACCTTGTGGTCCAGTGCTTTATCCCATAATGCCATACCAGGACATAGAATCAGTTTCTGTTGTTGTTGTTGTTGTTAATTGCCGTCGATTAGGTTCCGACTCATAGCGACCCTGTAGGAGTCTGAGGAGTGGCTGGTGAGCTTGAACCACCGACCTTGAGGTTCAAGCCATCCTTGCAGTCCAATGTATTAACCCCCAGCACCACACCAAGACTCCCATAGCGATCCTGTATAGGATTTCCAAGGGGCAGCTGGTGAGCTTAAACTGCCAACCTTGCAGTTCAAACCAACTTTGCAGTCCTTCACATTAACCCACAGTGCCCCACCAGGACTTCATAGAAACAATAGTGGACTGGAAATCTAATTCGTGGGTCTGAGATCTGGACCCACCTTTCATACCCTGGCCTAAAGTCACATGATGGTTATAGACTTCAGTCTTGTCAATTGTAAAATGAGCTGGTTTAATTTAGATGACCTCTAAAGTCTCCTCCAGTCTTCTTGTTTTTGTTAAGTGCTGTCAATTTAATTCCGATTCATAGCAACCTGTATAAGCAACCCTGTATAAGGTTTCCAAGGAGTGGCTGGTAGGATTGAATCCGACTTTGCAGTTAGCTATCCAGTGCTTATCCTATAGCACCACACCAGGATTCCTGTCTTAGAAAGCTACAGTTTCAATGTGCCAAGACTATGTAGTCGTCCTGAGGAACCACCTTTCCAATTGCCAAGATCAACTACTGAGTTATTTGTTGCACTAAATTAAATAAACTCTCAGGGTTGACTAATAAAAACAGAGGTATTTGTATCAATGTTGTTTTTGTTATGCGCCATCGAGTTGTTTCAGACCCATGGCATCCCTGTATTCAAGGTTTTAAATATTTTCCAGAGCAAGAAGCCTCAGCTTTCTCCCTCAGAGCAACTGGTGGACTTGAACCGCCGACCTTGTGGTTCTCAGTCCAGTGCTTATCCTATGGAGCCACTACACTCTCTTTTGTATTAATTGAAGATAAAAATTCAAAGCCCTCTCCATAAAACACTTACTTCCCCATTTTTCAGCCTTATGTCATTTCGGGTCTTTATGTGATTAAAAGCCCAATTTTTGGAATAACCCATAGTTGGAGAGCATCCCTCCGAATACAAACCCAGCACCTGAGAGAATTCTAAAATAAAATGTAATGACGTGACCAAAGGCCATCATAAGTTTACTTAACTAAAAATATGCACAAAATGAATGAGCTAACTATGTTTATAGCAACTCCCTTCTCTGTTTACAGTCTTTGTCAAAGATTACTAGGCCACATTTCTTAAAGGTCAAATTATTTTATTATTTTTCTGCCAGACTCAGTCAATAAAATTACTTCGTTCTTGTCTTTGGGTTCAAGTTGTTAGAGCCATTATCTTCTGTGAAAAGAAAAGGAAAAAAAAAAAAGACCTAAAGTCTCAGCATACCTTTGAGTTCTTGCTGCACCCTCTCCCCCAGGCTCATTTTACCTCCTTCTCCGTAAGCCCTCTGCCTACCAGCGCATGGGATCTTAGTGCTTAGCACCTACATCCTGAGTCATCATGGTACAAAACAACCCCTATGTATTGCTCTTTTCTATGCATCGAAACTTTGCACTGAAGCCAAAGACCAGTTCTTCCCGTGTGCCCTGTCAATAGAGTGGGAACTTTGTTTTGTTCTTCATTGTTTTGTACAATAAGTTGCCAATACCCAAATCAACTATGAAAGAACTAAAAACTTCCCTAAAAATGGCCAGTTGGTGGTGGTGGTGTGCCGTGGAGTTGGTTCCAAATCATAGCAACACTGCATAGGGTTTCCGAGGCTGTAAATTTTTACAGGAGCAGAAATCTTCATTTTTTTTTTCTGCGGAACAGCTGGTAGTTTCAAACTGCTGACCATGAGATTAGCAACCCAATTCATAACCACTACTCTAGCAGAGCCACAATCTAAAGTCTTGTCCCTAAACACTAGCACCTTGTTAACACTTGACAATTGTCTAGATGCCACCTGCCTGCCCACCTATCCTAATTTAATAAGCACTGGTGGGATGGCCCATTACTGGATTCAACCCAACTGTTAGAACACTCACTTCTTCATTTACGACTTTGGGGGCTAAACATTACTGAATTGGAAATTGCTCTCCTTATGAATTTCTTGCCCTTACCTTGAACCCCTCATCCTTAAAGAATCCAAATTAATAATTGGGCATCCTATTAAGCTTTCAGCCCCTCCACCCTATCTCCCTGTACTCTGGTAAGTATTACACCCCTAAGCCTACCACCACCACCTTCCTTGTGTTTTCAACTATATTTTAAGAAGAAAGGATTATTTCCTAACTCTAAAATCCAGATATAAAGAAAATCTACTTCTAGAGTTGTATTCCCATAAATCTTGACCCAGAAGTAAAATTTTGAAAATGAATCTTAGCAGCTCCACCTATTGGTGACTGTGTCACAGTTATTGTAATGTAATATAAGTAGGAAGGGGTGGGACAGGAGGTTGGCTGATGGATAGGACTCTGTCCAGCCATTGTCACTTGTCAGACAAAAGACCAGTGATTAGTCAACTCTTCAGGCTCTGACTCCTCAGGATGATTTATGGACAAGTCTCTGAAGATTTCCTAAGAGCAATGGGAAAGCAGTGAATAATGGTTGCCAGTCTTGAAGAACTTTTTATTACTGATTCCAGTTTACAATGTCACCCTTCAACCATGATTTTAAGTATTTTTCGAAGGAAATGTTATGCTCTGGTGAAGAACTGGCTGAGTCTGAGAAATCAGTAGAACTCAGACAGCTCCTACCTTAAAGCCTCATTCTGAAACTCTTGGGCTCTAAAAGCAGAAAGAGAAAAGAAAACCTGTGAAATAGAACATTAAAATGGATTTCCATTGGATCTGGGC